GCAAGAGATAAAGAATACATTAAAATAAATGAAGACTACATTACAGGGAATCAACAGTAGAATAGATGAAGCAGATGATCAAATCAGTGATTTATAAGATAAGGAAGCAAAAACACCTAATCAGAAGAAAAAGAGAGACTTCCAGCCAAGATGGATGCATAGGAAGATATGCTTCGCCTCCTCGCACAACCATAAAAGGAATTACAACCAGATCTTAAAACAAAAAACACCCAGAACTGTCAGAAAATTGAGCTGTATGGAAATCCAGCAACCAAGAATTTAGAGAAGCCACATTCATCCCGATGGGTAAAAGGGGTCAGAGTCACAGAGACGGGTGGAGATGTAGTGTGGCATGGAGAGGCAGCAGTGGTGGCACTGGTGGAATTGACAGTCTCAAATTCATGTGTGATGCATAAAGATCAGGAGGGATACTTTGGGAGCAAGCAATCCCAGTCCCAGACCAGACCACACAACCTAGGATACCAGCACCAGGAAAATAAATATCTATTACCTCTGGATATAAAAACCATGGGGGCAGGAGTTGGGGTGGTAGAAGAAACTGCCAGATATTCATTGCTTAGAGGGCCTGCATGGACTTAGAATGTACACAAACCCACCCACTCTGGGTTTTACCTACAGCGTAACAGCTGGAAGGGTACCAGTTGCCTACGTTAAGTGGATGAAGTGACTGCAAATAGGGTGAGTGCCGATCAAACCTCCAGGAACCAGGAAGCAGCACTGTGTCCTATCCAAGCCCTCCCCATACACAGAACCACAAAGTGGTGAAGTGGGTCACCCCACCCTGGTGAATGCTAAGGCTCTGCCTCATAAAACTTAACAGGTGCACTAAGTAGAGAGTCAAAGAAGCTCTACCTAATACACAGAAACAAACAAAGGGAGGCTCCCAAATACAGAAGACAAAGAAGTATGGCCCAAATGGAAGAAAAGAACAGAACCCCAGAAAAAGAACTAAATGAAACAGAGATAGTCAACCTATTAGATGCAGAGTTCAAAACATTGCTGATCAGGAAATTCAGAGAACTCATTGAGTATGGAAAAAACAAAAACAAAAAAAAGAAATGAAGATTATACTATGTGAAATAAAGAAAAATCTACATGGAACCAACAGTGAAGGGAAGGAAGCCAGGGTTCAAATCAATGATTTGGAACACAAGGAAGAAATAAATATTTAACCAGAACAGAAAGAATAAACAAGAATTCAAAAAGCTGAGGAGAGACTTAAGAACCTCTAGGATAACTTTATCATACCAACATCTGAATCATAGGGGTGCCAGAAGAAGAGGAAGCGCAAGAAATTGAAAACTTATTGGAAAAAATAATGAAAGAAAACTTCCCTAATCTGACAAAGGAAACAGACATACAAGTCCAGGAGGCACACAGAGTCCCAAACAAGATGGACACAAAGAGGACCACACTAAAACACATCATAACTAAAATGCCGAAGGTTAAAGATAAAGTGAGAGTCTTAAAAACAGCAAGAAAAAAAAACAGTTACCTACAAAGGAGTTCCCATAAGACTGTCAGCTGATTTCTCAAAAGAAATTTTGCAGACTAGAAGGGACTGGCAAGAAGTATTCAGATTGATGAAAAGCAAGGACCTACAACCAAGATTACTCTACCCAGCAAAGCTATCATTTAGAATGGAAGAGCAGATAAAGTGTGTCCCAGATAAGATAAAGCTAAAGGAGTTCATCATCACGAAGGCTTTATTGCATGAAATGTTAATGGGATTTATTTAAGAAAAAGAAGATAAAAACCATGAACATAAAAAAGGCAACAAATTCACAACTATCAACTGAATAAATAAACAAACAAACAAACAACTAAGCAAACAACCAGAACAGTAACAGAATCACAGGTATGGAGATCATCTGGAGGATTATCAGCTGGGAGGGGGAAAACGGAGAATGGCTGCAGGGATTAAGAAGCATAATTGGCAGGAACAAAATAGGGAGATGTTAAAAACAGTATAGGAAATGGAGAACCCAAAGAACTTACACGTACAACCCATGGACATGAACTAAGTAGGTGGATTGCTGGAAGGAAGGTGGGCACTGGAAGAGAGGGGTAAAGGAGGAAAATTGGGATAACTGCAATAGCATGACCAATAAAATATACTTTCAAAAAAGAGAAGAAGAAAGCAGATTCTGTCCCCAGGCCCTCAAGAAGGAATCGGCTCCGCTGACACCTCGACTTCAGGATATCAGGTCTCCTGAGCTGTAAAATATTAAATTTGTATTTATTAAGACCAAAAAAAAGAAAAGAAAAAAGAATTTTAAAAATGAGGATGGTTTAAGGAACCTCTGGTGTTGGGAACCGCCCTGACTGGTATCAGAAACTGAAACCCCCGCCTAGGCTAGGCTAAGGGAACGCCCTTGGAACCGTGAGCCGGCAAGGAGACAAAAGCTTATCTCCCTGGCAGTAATGCTGCTTCTGCTGCTGAACCCCAAAAAGCTTGGTCGGTTAGCCAAAGACGGATAAGATTCCCCACGGGGGAACAACCCAAGCCAGGCACGATCACTTTGGGAGGCCCCCCCCAAAAGAAGGACTTGGGGGGCTGCAGCAAAAGGGGGGGTGATGGACCCTCACTCCTCGGCTTTGACAAAGTCTGAGTTCTCAGCGTCCGGAAGAAAATCTCCTTATCTCTCGGTGGCCTTAGTTCCCGCGCTCCACCTAAGCCTGAAACAATGCCGGGAAGTACAGCTCGGTACTGGGAAGTGCGGATTTCCCGGGGTGATCAGGCCTAAGAAAGAACATGTAAATTACTGTGAAACCTTCTTTGTTCGAGAATGCTCTCAGTTGAATGAGGAGGGTCTTAGGAGGAAGCTAGTTTGTTCCTCAGCCTTACAGCTCTTTGACCCCCAACTCAATAGACCGGCAGAGTTCTTTGTTTTCTATATTCCTTACTTCCCCTAATGAGTATTGTACGTTACCTGAGTTATTATGCAAAATGAGCCTAATAAAAGCAGGTATGGACGGTAAATCAGCGCGCTCCCCACTAGGGGGGGTGGCCATTCTGTCCCTACTTCCCCACAGAAACTAGTTTGTCTCTGTGCATGTGTGTTTTTTCTCGCGTGTTTATTGTCGAGCCATCCACAGTGTTCCGTGGTCACTGCTGGCCGGTGACCCACGCGCAACACTCTGGGAAAACTTGAATCATATCAATATTTGCATTATGGGGGTACTAGAAGGAGAAGAGAGAGAGCAAAGAATTGAAAACCTATTTGAAAAAAAATAATGACTGAAAACTTCACTAACCTGTTGAAGGAAACAGACCTATAAGTCCAGGAAGTGCAGACAGTCTTATACAAGATGAGCCCAAAGAGGCCCACACCAAGACACATCATAATTAAAATGCAAAAAAAAAATTAGCCCTGGCCAGTGTGGCTCAGTTGGTTGGAACACTGTTCCATAAACCAAGAAGCTGAGGGTTGGATTCTAGGTCAGGGCACATGCTTAGGTTGCTGGTTCAGTTCCCAGTTGGAGGGTATGCTAAAGGCAACTGATCAGTGTTCTCTCACATGAATGTTTCTCTCTCTCTCAAAAATCAATGAACATTTCCTCAGGAGAGGATATTTTAAAAAAAGGACAATGAACACTTGCTTATTTCCTTTCAGTTATCTATGATCTGCAATAGTCTTATTTGTTTACTTGTTTATTGTCTTTCTTCATTAAAATGTTGAACTCTATAAGGCAGCTTGGTTTGTCTTTGAGGTTGTCTCCCCAAACCTAGTTGTGCTTGGCTGTGTTCAATGATCCATAACATTTTAAAAATAATTTCATTTATTTATTTTTACAGAGGAGGGGAGGGAAAGAGAGAAAAACATCAATGTGTCAGAGAAACATCCATGGGTTGCCCCTCACATACCCTCAACCTGGGGACCTGGCCCATAACCCAGGCATGTGCCCTGACTGGGAATCAGACCAGTGACTTTTCAGTTTGTGGGATAACACCCAACGCACTGAGCCACACCAATGGGGGAGATGATCGATAACATTTATTGAATAAATGCATTTAGAAAGACATGCATGGCCCCAACATAACCAAACTACCTAAAAATAGTTATCTCTGAAAATCTCTGAATAACTCCAAACTCTTATATGAGTCATTCCTTAAGAAAAAAAAAGTATTGAAAAACTTTCAAAGAACAGAGCATGGCTACATTCTTTTTAAATCAGCTTGTGATACATAATGTTCACCATTCCTTGATGGATCTACATTTCTTTGGTGGCAAAGATAATCACTGAATCACCAACATTTCACATAGACATCAGATGTAGAAAAGTGAATTTGGACTGCTTTCACCTGGAGTTGTTTGTATTACTTGCTCTCTGAAAATTTAATTTCTTCTTCCCAGCTCTTTTGCTCCACTCTCTCCCCTTCCTTTTCTTGACTGATTTTTCTTCTAGTGCGTCTACCCAATACAGCTGGGAAAGTGTTTAGATGCTCTTAAGTTTCTGAATCTACAACATCTGAGATGACGTGAAATTTTAAGGAAGAATTGTTTGGGCTCCTTTGTGAACTCCCTCCCATTTGTCTGATGCCTTCTTGAACATATGGGTGGTGCTCCTTAGGGATTCAGTAGTCCCTTTCACACCACAGGGTACCCGTTTGACAGTGGATTTTGTGGGGGTTGGAGGGCAGTTAAAGGAAATGGGGGAAAAGCTTAGTCTTAGTAGGCAGAAAATCCCCATTTTACTCCTGGTTCAAGTGGGGCAATCCTTAAAGAGCAAGAACTCCATGAAACACACAGGCTGTCAGTTCCACCAGCTTTGCCAAACGCGCAGGTCTCCATTTCCCACACGCTTGGGGCTGTGGGGAGGTATAAGTAAGGGCCTCGGCGCCACCCCACGCGCCTGCGCCTGGCGACCCAACACTCAGGCCTGCACAAAGCGCCTTCCCGCGCCACCCTCGATGCAGCCACAATGCGCAGGCGCAGGCGCGGGGGAGAGGGGCGGGCGCACTGAGCCCTGTAGATTTGGAGAAGCCGGCAGTCATGGCGGCGGGCAGGCTACGTGGCCTGGCAGTGGCTGGTGGAGGCGAGAGTAGCGAGAGTGACGACGATGGCTGGGAGATTGGGTATCTCGATCGGGCATCGCAGGTAGCAGAGGAGGTTTTTTTCTTCACGCGCCCAAATCTACCTCCTGGCTCTCAAAGGCCCGGCTACGTGAAACTTCTTCCTCACTCCTTCCCCTAACTCGTTTTTCCAGTGAAAATACAGGCTTTTGGATTTCAAACAAACCCGCAAAGTTTTCGTCTTTCCTTACTGTGCTTTACATCGACAGAACTTCTTTAAGTTGTTAGTGTAGTAGTTCTTCACTTGGTTTGGACCCTTCCTTACCTGTTCCCTTTTAAAGATCATTTTAGACATGAATTCTTTACGAACTTTGTATGTTGCCCAACCCATCTCCGTCAAAAAAAAAAAAAAAAAGATTTTACCTAAGACCAAACGTTATTTACTGCTGAAGTGGAAATGCAAATATGTAAAACTACTTTTTAAAAACTTTTTGCTTTTTTAGAAGTTAAAAGGACTGTTACCCACTGAAGAAAAGAATGACACATTTAAGAAAGCGTTGACCACAGGAGATATTTCATTGGTCCAAGAGCTCCTAAATTCTGGTGAGAAATAAGGGATAGTTTCAAGCCAACCCAACTGTCTAAGTTAACAACTGTTTCTAATTTTAAAAGTTTTGAATTGCCTTCCTAATGGAATCACAGTGCGTGTTAGTATAGGTAGTGCCTTACATGTCTTTTTTGACTGAGTTCTCTTTGCCTTTTCTTCCTTTAATTTGGAATGCCACCCTGTTACCTTCCATAGTTCTTCCACATTTTCAAAAACCTTATTCTGACTAATCCTACTCCACCATGATAATTCTTACTCATTTTTCTCAGCATTTTCTTGGTCTATTATATGTTCCTCAAATGTTCTAGTTTTGTACATTTCAGTTACGTTCTTTTCCCGTGCTGGGTGTGTGTATGTGTGTGTGTGTGTGTGTAAAATAAGGCCTGAGTTTAGAATCAGAATACCTGGGTATGTGTTCCCTTGGCTAGTCAGTATGGTTCCCTGGAAAAGTCATTTAAACTTGCAGAACCTCAGTTTCTTCACGTAAAGCATCTTAATTCTGGCCTGGGTCCCACAACATTTTTTTCTGTGGATCAAATTAAATATATGACTTTTAAAAATTATCTTGACATAGAAATGTCAAGGTAACATTGTTGATAATAATGTTGAAATTATCCAAATGAGTAACAGTCATTTGCCATCTACTTGTAGATACAAAACATACACATATAAAATAGTTAAATGATATTGTATATAGAAAAATGTTTGTCTTTTATGCTAGAGATGCTTCATGGTTTAGCAGACAGTAAATCATTTTAGAAACAGCATAGTTCTGGGTTTGCGTACTAGTCCTGCCATAGATGGCTCTGTAATCCTGACCAATTGCTAAAGCTTCAATTTCCCCCATTTTTTAAATGGGATGCATTATATCAAAGGTATTTGGGCAGGGACTAAAATGAGATATACATTAATAAAGTTCTTAGACCATATAGGCATTATGTAAATATTAGCTGTTCAACAAAAGAAGAATCTGTATGACTGTGGACAGTAGAACTTGAGTTTGTAATTAAAGATGAAATTGGATAAAATTTGAATAATAGAGGCTTAAAACCTAATATAAACACCTGCAGGAGTGTGCATAGTGTTGAATGTAGTAGAATAGGCAGAAATTTGTTTAGGAAAGAAACTTTGTCTTAGGAGTAGTGGGACTAGGTGCAATGAGGTGAAGGAGGTTCCCGAAGGGTGAAGACTTGGAAAGAGCCTACCGATAAAGTAAGAATTTAGTCAACCTTTTATAATTGTTTAATTACAAAATTTTCAAAAGTTCATTTTAAAAGGTCAATAATAATAATATATAATTATGAATAGAAAGATACCTTTCACCCCCATTCCTCTGAAGTCTCTCACAAGTCATTCCAGTTTTAGTATTTCCTGGTTTCCTTCCAGATGTCGTTACTTAACACTTCTTAAAATATTTTCAAATATTGCCCTTCATAATCATTCCTGTTGATACATATTTCTGCACCAATTGAGAAGTTTAATTAAAAAAATGAAAGCTTCCTTTGAGTCAGCCACTCCATTTTTAACAGTTCAATCAACCATGTCTTAGTTTTTGTTATTCTGCTATATACTATTTTCAGTTCTTTTTAAATTATTAAGTATTTCAGACATTCAGAAAGGTATGGAGATATCTCTTCTTCCCCCTGGAGATAACCATTTGCCTATAGTTGGTATTTATGTTTCCTTTGCATATCTTTAGATTTTTACTTTACATGTATATATCCCAAAACAATATAGTGTTATTTTGAATGTTTTTGACACATAAATTTGTTGTGTTGCCCTGGCTGGTGTGGCTTAGTTGGTTGAAGCATTGTCCTGTGCACTGAAAGGCTGGGGGTTTGATTGCTGGTCAGGGCACATATCTAGGTTGACGTTGGATTCATGGGAGGCAACCAACTGATGGTTCTGCCTCACATCAGTGTTCCATTCTTTCTTTATCACCCCCTCCTCCCCTTCTTCTCCTCTCTCAAATCAATGCACACATGTTTAAAACTATTTAAAAATATATTAGGCTGGTCAAAAAATTTTTTTTTCTGTAAGACTGTTCTAGTAGCGCTTAGTTGTCTCTAACTTCATTTAAAACAATTTTGTTAGATTGTATTGTGACAGCTGTTATATCAGCATTCATTTAAAAAACTTAAAATTGGTAAACCATTGTGTAGCCATTTTAATACTGAAGATGGAAGAAAATATGCAACATTTTCAGCATATTATGCTTTAGTATATCAAAAAGGTAAAAACACAACTAAAATGCAAAAAAAAAAAGATTTGTGTAGTGTATGGAGAAGGTGCTGTGACCTATTGAGCATGTCAAAAGTGGTTTGCAGTTTCATGCTGGAGATTTCTCACTGGATGATGCTCCATGGTCAGGTAGACCCGTTGAAGTTGATAGTGATCAAATCAAGACATTAATTGAGAACAATCAACATTATACCATGGGGGAGATAGCCAACATACTTAAAATATCCAAATCAATAAAGTTACTGATGAAAATGAAAAGTGTGTCTTTCACAGAAAAAATATGAACAGATTTTTTTGGCCAAGTCAGTATATCTATTGTGTCAATCTTCTTAAACTTCAAGTTTTAATACTATGCCTTCTGGCCCAGTGGCTCAGTTGTTTGGAGTGCTGTGCTGTACGCCAAAAGGCTACAGTTGATCTCTGGTGAAGGCACATATCTAGGTTGCAGGTTCAGTCCCTGGTTGGGGGTGTACAGAAACCAACTAATTGGTATTTCTCACGTGAGTGTCTTTCTCCTCCCTCTTTCATCTCTCTAAATTCAGTAAATATCTCCTCAGCTGATGATTAAAAAGTAAATAAAGTAAACTATGTCTAGAGCATAATAGATGCCTTTTTAAATATTAGAGATGATGATTAAGAATTTTTATACTAACATGCTGATTTGCTTATCTTTTTCTTTACATTGATTCCTTTTTATGGTTTGAGCAGTAATGTCATTAAAGAAACAATAATGAGAAAAAGTTGTTTGTCTGATCTTATTCATATGCTTTCAGTTGTAGCCGTTTAAAGAGAAAAATTTGTTAGAGAAGACAAGTTGCACCAACAGTGTATGCATGTACTAAGAAGGTTTTATGTTGTTTTCTCTCAGTAATTAACATCCTTTTATGTCAATTAAAGTTAGACAGTCAGGAGTAATATTTCAGCAACTTAGTATAGATATTCTCTTCCTCTGTGTGGATGGAACCCTTGATAACCAGAGACTATAAAACTGTAAATTAAAAGGTGTTAAGGTCAGGCTTATATTCAGTGGTTTTCACATACAGGTGTTCCTTCTTTGAAACAGAAAAACATTCTATTTTTATTCTTACTATTAGCAAATATTTATTAGCTTGGGGAGAGAGATTGCTACTTAAATCCTGATCTCTTTATAGAAAAGACTTTACTTAATTTTAATAGATTGCATTCACTGCCTCTTTGTATCTTTGTTCTTGTATCACATCTCCTATACTCTTCCCCAGTCCTACATCCAAACCTAGCTCAGAGATCAACCATTTTTTTCTTTTTTAATATGATCAAATCAGTCAGTGATCTGGGATAAAATCAGGTGATTCCAAGGGTTTTTACCACTGATGGCTTGAGGATGTTAAGGTTAGCTGCCTCTGCTGGCTCTTGTTCTTTCTAGTTTTTATCTATTCCTTTCTGTCCCATTCTGGATAGTGGCTTTAAAACTTCACCCTGCTCCTCAGGCCTGATTATCTCATCTAGGCCTTCTCTTGTTCTAGTACACTGCTTGTCATTCATTTGTTTAGGGCTGAACATGATGGTCATTTTGACTTGTTCTTTTCTATCACTTCTCCTCTTCAAGGATATTTTAAATTCTGATGATCCCACCTTTGAAATGTTCTTTTGTATTACATCCTCTTTCTCCCCACTGCCTTGCTGTGACTTAATTACATAGGATTCTAGTCTCATAACTACTCTTCCTGTCTCCTGTCCACTCTTAATAGTGGTACCTTTGTTGTCTTTATAATACAAATATAATGGTGTCAATTCCTGGATCCCATATACAGTTAACATTTCTTAATAGAGCTTTTATAATCTAACCCTAACCTACCTTTTTAGCCTCATATTTGGCAAGGTCCCCATGGATAAATCTTGTGTTAGAAAGGAAGTTAAGGAAATTTTAAGAATATACATGGAGCTTACCATCTTAAGAATGTATAATATTCTTTCCTTCTTTATTTATTTTATTTTTTTTTTTAGAAAGAGGGGAAGAGAGGGAGAAATAGAGGGAGAGAAACACCAATGTGAAAGAGAAACATTGACTGGTTGCCTCCAGTATGTGCCCCTACTGGGGACTGAACGTGCAACTTAGGCATGTGCCCTGACCAGGGTCGAACTGGCCACCTTTTGCTTTGTGATATGATGCCCAACCAACTGAGCCACACTGGTCAGTGCAGAAATGTATAATATTCTAATTAAAAAGACAATTTACCTCTATGAAACCTTTACCAACTCTCCTAGAGAGATAATGATTGCATGTAAACTTGTTATACTATGTGTATAACAGTTTTATATATGATAAAACATGTCAGATAAGGTCTCTTGGAACATAGCATCTACAAGTGAAAATGAAGTTAGCTAAATTATTGAAGTCTAGATTTAATCATTTTGCATTTTTTAAAGACATTATTACCATAAAATTCCTTCCTATTATAAAGTATACATGGTCATGTCACATGCCCAGTACTTTAAGCATATTAAGGTGATAGTGTGTGTGTGTGTGTGTGTGTGTGTGTTGTGGTGGAGGCTTTAAAAAGTTTGTTTTTATTTTGACAGGCATTAGTGTAGATTCAAGCTTTCGGTATGGATGGACTCCCCTTATGTATGCTGCTAGCGTTTCCAATGTAGAGCTGGTTCGGGTCCTTTTGGACAGAGGTGCTAATGCAAACTTTGATAAGGGTAAGATGTTTTGAGTATTTAACATATGTGAAAATTTATTTTGTATACTTCCTTGTTTAGAAGCCTAATCATATTGTGTTAAGGGATGGTAAAATATACTTTTCATGCTCTGTTTTCATATATTTACTTTAAAATAAAACTTTGTCCATGAAAAAAAAAGTAAGAGTAAGATGTTTGAGATAATGTAACTGATTATGTTTACTGTGATTTTCTTGATTCCCAAGCAGCTTTACGCAAAGTGAAAAAAAGTTAAACCAGTTTTAAAAACCTCTTTTTATAGTTACGTTAGGTGAATAACATACAATATCATATTAGAACCCATTGAAATTTTGAAAAACCTCCTTCCCAAAGAGATTCCACTTATATTATTTTTATAACTGGTTGTGTTATTATATATCTTTAGCTTCTTTGCTAAAGGATTTGGGTTATTTTTACAAAGGAAAAATTCATTGAAAGAAAACATTGAAAAGCTGATAATTTTGTGGAAAATTACTTGAAAATCAGTGCTTGAAATTTAAAACTTAACTCTAACTTATTCTAAAGTTGTTTCAAAGATAGTTTATTAAATCCATATATTTCTTCCTTGGTTACTAAATGATTTCTACAGAGAAATCAGTACTACTCAGTACTTCTTTGAGAGCTTTTGAAAAATAAGAGTATATGTGCAAGTCCAGTTTAATTATTATATTGAAAAACTGATTTTTGTTTTTAATGTGTTTCAAATGAGCAGTTAAATTCATTTCATAATTCAGGTATAGGTTTTATTTTCAAATTAATTTTCAATTAAGTTTGTACCAATATTAGATATTTATAAAACCATTTATATTTAGTTTTCTTTTATATAGTTTGTATAAATTCCCATCTTAACAGTTTTATGTTTAACCAGCTGTGATGAGTTTTTCTTTTTATTGCATTATTTTAAAATATCACCCATGAAAGCTAAATTTAGGAATGAGATTTTTGAAACTATATAAAATATTCTGCTCAAAATAGAATCATTTTCTTCCTCCTCTTCTTGTAATCAGAGGAATACCTTACAGTTAGAAAGAGTTTTATATTTTTCATAAAATGTTCACATAAATTCTCTTATGTATTCAACAACAGCTTCATCATGCAGAGGGCAAATATTAGCTCCTATCTACAGGTTAGATCTACTGAGATATTAAGGTATTACTGTAGTCACAGTTTATTGGTGGCAGAACTGAGACTAGAGTCTGTATCTTTATCTTGGTCAATATTGAACCACTAATGTAAACCATGGCTGCCATGACCTATTTGAATTTCCCAATTTTTACTTAAGAAGTGTTTTGGTTTTTACATCTACCCTGATCTCTGCTGATGTCGTAGGAGCCAAGGAAAGAAGTATTTTAGTAAATTGGGTGAGCTCAGAGAGATCAGATAGAAGAGGACTGAAAAGATCATTTTCAGTAGGACAGTTGGGGCATAAGCCAGATTTCAGTGAGTTGTCTAATGAGTGGGAAGTAGGAGTGAAATCCAAGAATATCAATCATTGTTTTTCAACATGAGTGCAGCAAGGCAAATTTTAATCAACCAAAAAGTGTTCAACTCTGGGCAATATCTCTACACATAATCCATGCTCTTACTTACTTTCATAGTCTCTTTTTTTGTATATGTGAAAATTAAGATTTTATTGAAAAATGTATTTGCATACTTCTCTCTGCTGTTTAAAATGTCGTTTTTTTAATTCCACACTTTACTGTCATATGTAAGATTTTCAAAGATGGCTGAGGTATCCTTTTTTTTAATTGTTCAAGTACAGTTGTCTCTATTTTCATCCCACCATGCCCCCCCACCCCACCCATCCCTTCCTCCCACCCTCAAACCTACCCCCTTTGGCTTTAAGAAATAGGAATAGGGCCTTGGCTGGTGTAGCTCAGTGAATTAAGTGCAGACCTGTGAACCAAAGGGTTGCCAGTTCAGTTCCAAGCCAGGGCATATGCCAGGGTTGCAGGCCAGGTCCCAAGATAGGGGCGTGTGAGAGGCAATCACACATTGATGTTTCTCTCCTTCTCTTTCTCCTTCCCTCCCCGTCTCTCTAAAAATAAATAAATAAAATCTTTTAAAAAAAGAAATAGGAATAGGGAAAGGAAGTTAAGAAGTGGATTATAGATATAATTTAGAGATTAAAGCAGTTCATCCTTTATCTCATTTTTTGATGAAGGAAGACATAAAGTTGTCTACTAAAGAGATAAAGAGAACTAGGAATAGGTTGTAGACCTATTTAAGAGTGCAGTAATTTTTATTATCTTTTGCATGGTAAAAGAAGTCAGTTAGATACTTACTGATGGAGGGGGTTTCTCATTTTTTTATTGATTATAGATAAGCAGACTATTTTGATAACCACATGTTCAGCTCGTGGCTCAGAGGAACAGATCGTGAAGTGTGTAGAACTACTACTTTCAAGAAATGCTGATCCAAATGTTGCTTGTAGGTAAGAGCCTTACTATCTGTTCCGAAATTATGGATACTTTAATTTGATTATCAGACTTAATAATTTGATAACATGATTTTTTAAAAATTATAAATAATGTGTATTTACTTGGCCATATAGGTGACGAATGAAAATAGGTCTTAAGGTCATGGTTCCTATTGTATAAGTTTATCAAAGGAAGAAGGGTGTATTATGGAGGTCATCTTTTAATTTTTAATTTTTAGAACAATGTCCTAAGAATTTGCAATGAAAGGGAAAGGAAGACAGTATACTGTATCATTTTCTAAGAATCACATACTCAAAAGAATATGTTTGAGCTGTAGTAGTAAGCCTCTTAACTTAGTGTTCTAATGCTTAAACCCACTAAACAATTTTATATAAATGCTAAAGCATATATCCAAAATAATAAATCAAAATATTTTCATTTTCCTACAACTTTTCCAATTATTATTTTATCATGTATTTAATAGTGCCTAGATGCAAAGAAAACAAATAGTAAATATACCTTGCATCTTTTGAAATGTCAGTGATTTTTAAAAAATAAACCAGATTACTTAAAATTTCTATCATTAACTTTCTTCATCTCTGGCTCCATTTCCTGGTTAAATCTCTGTTTTATTTAATAATCAAAGTGAAGAGAGGGAAGTAGCCCATCTAACAGAAGTATGTCTAGCATGAATAGAATAATTATTCATAATTCATTAATTCAAATATAATGATATATTAATATTACTATTAATAATACAAATAAATATTTCTGAATATAGAAATAACTATGCTTCACTAGAAGTATTTTTTCTTTTTTTCTTTTTAAAAATTTAATCTTTATTTTTTCCATTAGCATTTAGTTCCCTTATACCTCCCTCCCCCCAGCAATCATCACACTGTTGTCCATGAGTCCTTTTTCTTTTTTCTTCAATCCCTCATCCCCCTACTACCTCCCTAGCTGTTATCCTACTCTCCATCTATGAGTCTGTGCCCATTTTCCTTGTTAGTTCAGTTTGTTCATTAGATTCCACATATGAGTGAAATCATATAGCCTTGTCTTTCTCTGACTGGCTTACTTCACTTAGCATAATGTTCCCCAGCTCCATCCATACTGTTGCAAAGGGTAAAATTTTCTTCTTTTTTATTGCTGAGTAGTATTCCATTGTGTAAATGTTTCATATTTGTTTTATCTATTCATTTGTTGATGGACATTTGGGCTGTTTCCATATCTTGGTAATTATAAATAATGCTGCAGTGAACATAGGGGTGCTTATGTTCTTCCAAATTAGTATTTTGGGTTCCTTCAGATATATCCAGAAGTGGGTTTACTGGGTCAGGAAGCAGATCCATTTTTAACTTTTTGAGGTACCTCCATACCATTTTCCACAGTGGCTGCACCAATTTGCATTCCAGCCAACAGTGCACGATAATTCCCTTTTCTCCGCATCCTCACCAGCACTTGTGGTTTGTTGATTTATTGATAATAGCCATTCTGACCAGTGTGGCATGACTGTGGCTTTAATTTGCATTTCTCGGATAATTAGTGATATCAAGCATCTTTTCATGTCTATTTGCCATCTGTATGTCCTTTTTGGAGAATTGTCTATTCAGGCGTTTTTCCCATTTTTTAATTGGGTTGTTTGTTTTTTTGGTGTTGAGTTTTTTAAGTTCTTTATAAATTTTGGATATTAACTTCTTATCAGATATATTGGCAAATATGTTCTCCCATTCTGTGGGTTGTGTTTTTATTCTGTTGATGGTTTGCTTTGCTGTGCAAAACTTTTTAGTCTGATGTAGTCCCATTTGTTTATTTTTTTTCTTTTGTTTCCCTTGCCTGGGGAGTTATATCTAAAAAATATTTGTATGAGCTATGTCCAAGATTTTGCTGCCTATGTTTTCTTCTATCATTTTTTATGTTTTAGACTCTAACATTTATGTCTTTGATAGATTTTTAATTTATTCTTGTGTGTGGTGTAAAAAACTGGTCTAGTTACATTTTTCTGCATATATCTGTCCAATTTTCCCAACACCATTTATTAAATAAACTATCTTTAGCCCATTGAATGTGTTTGCTTCCTTTGTCAAATATTAATTGACTGTAAAAGTGTGGATTTGTTTCTGGGCTCTCTCTTCTGTTCCATTGAACTAATGTGTTTGTTTTTATGCCAGTACCATGCTGTTTTTATTACTATGGCTTTATAGTATAGCTTGATATTAGGCAGCATGATTCTTCCAGCTTTGTTCTTCTTTTAGCAAGCTGTTGCTATGCAGGGTCTTCTATGGTTCATATATTTTTGAAATATTTGTTCTACTTCTGTGAAATACCTCATTAGAATCTTGATAGGAATTGCATTGAACCATATGATGATATCAATAGATGCAGAAAAAGCATTTGATAAAATCCAGCACCCATTTATGATAAAAAAAAAACTCTCAGCAAAGTGGGATTAGAGGGAACATACCTAAACATAATAAAGGCCATATGTGACAAACCTACTACCAGCATCATACTCAATTGGTAAAAACTATAAGTGTTCCCCTTAAGACTGGGAACAGGACCGGGATATCCACTTTTACCTCTCTTATTCAACATAGTACTGAAAGTTCTAGCCACAGCAATCAGAGAACAAATAAAAGACATCCAGATTGGAAAGGAAGAAGTAAAAACTGCCTTTATTTGCAGATCACATGATAATGTACATAGAGAACTCCAAAAATTCCACCAGGAAACTACTAGAACTGATAAATTAATTCAGCAAAGTAGCAGGATACAAAATTAGTATCCATAAATCACTTGCATTTTTATATGCCAATAAGAAACTAACAGCAAGGGAAATTAAGAAAACAATCCCATTCACAATTGCTACAAAAAGAATTAAAACCAGGAATAAACCTAACCAAGGATGTAAAAGACCTGTGCTCAAGAGAATTTTAGGGCACTGAAGAAAGAAATGGAGCAAGATACAAATAAGTGGAAGCATATACTGTTTTCATGGATAGGAAGAATTAACATCATTAAAATGTTCACACTGCCTAGAAGTATTTTTTTCTAATTAAGTTCTGGTTCTACAGCACTTGGACAGCAGCTTTGGAAGGTACCATACAGCTTTAGTTAATCCCCAGATCTTACCTGAGATACATGGATTTTTATTTAGTGAAGTTGTTTTAAGCCAGGTCTACTTTATCTCCCAGTGGACATGGGCAATGTCTGGAGAAATTTTTGATTGTCACACCTGGGAGAAGCTACTGGCATCTAATGGCTAGAGGCTGGGGTTGCTGCTAAACATCCTACAAATACATAGAATAACCCCTCAAAACAAAGAATTACTCATCCCAAACAGTAGTGCCAAGATTGAGAGACTGAGTGTGAGGAAGGTCAAGGCTTGTAGAGTGGATAATCAGTGTTTAACAAAAATAAAGACTTATTATAGGAAAGGAACTTCCTTCAAATTTTTAGCAAATTAATTCACAGGAACTGTTTCCATGCCATATATTGTATAATCTGTAGTTAGGATTTGATTGTACCTTGGAATTTTGAACTCTGGGACCCCTAGCTGAAGTAAACTTTAATGGGTGCTATAAATTTTGTACCTTTAGAAGTGGTTTATGGTAAGATTTACCTCTCTGGATTTAATGGAATTTTTTTTTCTAGTGCTCTTCAAAAAAATGTTTCTTTTCATTACTTCTACAAGGTATCATAGATAGCAAAGTCTTTACCCTCCCAATCACTTACTTTCTTGTGAACACACTGAAGAAGTCAAACAAGCCAGTGTCATAGGTTCTAGATTATTCTGCTTTAATAACTAGAAGGGGTCTTTTAGATGCATAGGGTATATCTGAAACAGACATATTTCATTTAAATTAAAATAATACAAGGTTACCATCTTAAGCTAAACTATTAAGGCAACCACACAATTTCAAAACTGAAACCCAGAAAACTGTTGAATTTGAAAGAGCATAAGATTTAGATTAGTATGTACTCAACTCAAAGAAGTAGAGAATTCTATAGCATGGTTCCAGAGCAATCTACATCTAATTAACACATGTGAGAAATACCTGAAAAACTATTCACCTGCTTTTATGTCTATGGTCAAAGCATAAAGCAATAAAATGATTGAATTTCCTTTTCTTTTAGAAAGTAAGGATCTTGGTAGAGCTGAAAAGAGAATAAGTTATGACAAATAGTGCTTTTAGGTTGCATATTTTATAAATTGGATGGCATTAGTGGGCATAAGAGGATACCATGCTGCCAATGTAAAAGAAAAAAATCTCAGGACACAAGGAGAGTGCAATGAAATTGGGGGAATTTTATAGGTAATTCATTAGCAGTGACCAAATTCGAAACCTATTAGAAGATTTTAAGTTTTAATTTCTTTTGCAAAGCACCAGAACAGAAGAAACCAAGGATTCAGAGATAGATGAGGAAACTACTATTCAGATGTAAAGGAGAGAAACATATTTAGAGGAATTTATTTTCAACTTGTCATGGCCTCTTTTGTTGAATAGTTCTTCTGCTTAGAAAAATTACCTCTCAAGAATAAGAGCGCAAGGGAAGAGTTGGCCATAAAACTCATAAGTGGCTAGGTTTTGTGAAAGCTAAATGGTCATATATTTGCCAGTTGCAAAGGAAGTTAACCTATGACTTTTTTTTATAACTAAAATGGTATCAGTAGTCTTGTTTCATGAAGCAAAAGTTACAGAAAAGTCTTGGAGATCAACCTCTAAACTAGAGACTGAAGTCTCAGTTTTAGTATACTCTTCTAGTTTTTATAGACTTAATTCAAGAGAGAGGTTCTTAGTTTATATATAAAATGGAAAAGGAAAAGGAGGGTTTTACCTGTATCAGAAGCAGGCAGATTATTCTAGATCTTATAATAGAAGTGAATCAGTTAATCAAATGTATGATTTGGTTCTGTTTGCAGAAAAACTAAAGAGAGGAAAAATTCTGAGATCCCTGTACCTACTTCTGAATTCCCTGTACCTAGAGATCTTGCTGAATGATACTGAGGGAA